ATAGCTAAGCATGACGATGATATATACAATGATATTGTATGTATTATATTTATATTATATATGTTTGCCACACTTTACTAATCAACAAGGACGTTCTCATGATGCTCTCAAATCGATTTATATTTGATTTGCAATTTAACTTTTTTTAGCACACAATTTTTTTTGAAATAAAAAAAAAAATTAAATCGAATTCCAAAAAATTTAAAAATTCATTAACATTAAAACATTTGATGTCTCCTGTAAATGTTCTAAAGATGTTTTTGCTATATTTCTTAAGGTCCTTCAAAGACATTAACTTGATCTTCTTTATATAGAATACCACTTGAAACTGCTATTTTAAATTTTATTCCAAGTGTTCTGCACGGCAAGGACGACATTTTGTTAACATTGAACCTAAAAAGGCATACAAATTAATATTTCTTTAGACTAATAAAGGGTTGGTATTACCTTTAAAAACTTGTCTTTTCAAATAACTACCACTATTTTAGATGGTATTATGTTTGGGCATTTTCACATTTCCTTGACAGGCAGAAAGAAGTTCAAAATGTCCAAATACATTCATACAATATCTACTGTACATTGTTATGTGTATGGGTGGGGTGATTTCAAATATTCAATAATCACCTGAGCTTAGTCAACTATATCTGAATTGTATTTGAACTCCAAATATTGCAACTATAAAAATTAATATTATTACTAAATATTTTTCCTGAAAAATATAGCATGTTTTAAATAAACTTTAGACAAGTTAAGGATTGGCGTTACCATTACAAATTCTCAATTTGAATAAACTACGACTATTTTACAAAAATTTGTTGGATGGTATTAGATTTGTGTTTGTGGGGTTTCAAAATCTCTCATATCCTTACACAAACAATAACGCTCTTTGCAAAGACTATCGCAGCAAATGCAGTCCTATACTATGTTGAGTGTATGGTTTGTTTTTAAAAATTTGATTATCACCTGACCAAACTATAATACATAAAATAATTACTACATATTTGTAAAAATTAATTTATTAAAAATGATCTGTCCATTGTCCCTAGCGTCCTTAGGTATGTTAAAATGTTTTTTTTTTTCAAACTTACCCGCAAAACGAATTTTAATCAAATCCAAAGGATGTAATATCAATGTTGAGGTAACACCACCCGATATGCCAGCTACTAAATGCTCATATTTGACGTGCGATGATAGTTTGAATTTGCCATTTGATGCCGATGCGGCAGCAGCAGCTGTGGCTGCACCATTTGTTGGTTTAGCAGCAGGACTCATTGCAGACATAATGGATTGTAGTAATTTGTTACTGTTGTTGGATGCCGTCGTCGTTTATTTATACAAAAAATTAGTATTTAAATTAAATTTAGGAACTTTTAGAAGAGACTAAAAATTTTTAATGTGAAAATTTCCAATATTAGCAACACTGCTTATAAACGGATTTTTTTTGTAGATTTCTTCTCCTTCTTTTCGTTGTAGACTCTTTATACTTCTAGATTTCGTCGTCGTGGTTTTCTCCTTCTTCCTCTCCTCTTCTTTCACTTATATATATATTTCTTTGTACTGTGATAAATCGTGCTTGTGTGTGAATGAATCTCTTTTCTGCTGCGTTGTTGTTGTGGTTCTGGGATTTGCAAGTTGTTGCTGTGTGGTATTTTTCTGTTTGGTTTGTTTTGTTACTATGCCCATGTGTCTGCAACGCCTTTGTATACTTTTTTGTTTGTTTGCTTTATGCACTCTCTTTGCTTCTTGTGCTGCTTGATGTCTGCTCCGCTTCAAACGTATTGGCAAATGGAAAAAAGTGTATCACGTTTTTTGTTTGCTTTTCGATTTCAACAACTTTTTGTGTTTTTTGCATAGAAATCAATTGTGCTAAATTTATAAACTTTAATCACTCACTCTTCTCTGCTTCTTCGTCTTTGTTCTAGTTGTATGTGTGTGGAGATATTTATTTTTTGTTGATAATTTAGGATGGGGTCATTGGATTTATTTGTTCTATGTTGCTTGGTTTTGTATTTTATCTAAATTATATTTAAATCTTTGGTATTCTTTGATTCTACTTCGTTTTTGCTTGCGTTTGTGTCAAATCAAAGATTGTCTCTTTTTGTTGTTGTATTTAGTAGACTCAATTGGACAAGTAGAGCGTGACTGAATTTGTTCGATTCAATAGTCCTACAGCTGCTGCTTCCTTTATTGTTTCTAACTAAATCTATATTTGTTTGGAAGCTATTGAAGCACATCTTCTTGTGGGAATTTCTTTTGATTAGTCACTTTTTGTATTCTTCTTCGTTTAAAACTACACACAAAATGTACAGCTGTTGTCTGTCTCTACACTGGGTTGCAGTTATTGTTGTTGCTGACTGGCTGGTTGGCTTATAAAGATGACGAAATTCCACCCAACACAAAAAAATGTATCACGTTTTTGCTCCAAATTGAAATTTGTTGCTCTTTTTCTACTATATTGTTATTGTTGTATTATTGCTGCTCCAACCAATTGTGTAACTACTATTTGTTATTTTGTTACAGCATATTTTATCATACTTTTTCTTATATAATTTATTCGCTTTTGCATTGACGCTTTTTATTATTTTATTTCGTTATCGAAAAATCACTTGTATTTTGAATATTTTATAACTTTTTCTTAAATTTCTCTACGAGACTGTGAAAAAAAATGGAGTACCGTCGCGAAAAAAGCTGCTGCCGTTTTGCCAAGAACACGTCGTTGCTGTTTGAGTTTTCAAAAAGGAATGAAGAAAACAGAGTTGTGTCGTTCAGAAATGAACTTGGTGTTCAAGAGAAATACTTAATAAAATGAACGATTGGAACTATTTGCATGAAGTTCACTACGCTCAGTCGAATCAAAAGGCACAACAACATTATACAATAATATAATTTTTACAAAACAAATGAAAAATACACCTCTAAATTGTGACTTCTTCAGTCAGAATAAATAAAAAACACAACATTTTACTAAAACGCACACACAAAATGAATGGAATGGCACGCTTTCTTTCCAAAATCAAATTTTATAATTAAATGGAAACTCTAAAAGCGAAATTTGATCATAGAAGAACTTTGTAGTTGTCAGAAAGAAGAAAATGCATTTGTACCGTATGAGCACTAATGTCAGAATAAATGAAAACAAATGCAACATGTCGTTCTGTTCATTTGACATATTTTTAACACTTTAGCAAAATCGCGAAATATGAATGGAATGCCAGCTTTTCTTTTTAAAATCGAATTGGGGATATGATTACAGCTTAACTGAAACCGGGGTTTTTCCTGCTATTGAAGATTACGATTTTGAAAATATTTAGTGTCAGGAGACATTTCCTGGCAGCGTAATTACTCGTCGTAGCGATATAAATTGTCCACCAAGATCGTGCGATTTGACACTAATAGACTTATTAATATTGAGTAAATCATGGCACAATGAAGCAGCTGGCCATTTAGCGCAGCTGATTTTGGGTAATTTCTACTTCAATTCGATGTGCAGTGTTGCCAACCATTTGAAATATTATAAGGAAAAATTTGACAGATAATCGAGACAAAAACAAAGGTTTTTGTTGTGATACATCAACTTATCATTGCATCAGAGTAAATTTTCCTTGTAAGAATTTGCAAATACTCAGTAACACAAATAATAAATCTGCTCTGTCAATTCACTATCTTTTACTGCATTTTTGGGTAAACCAACAACATTTTGTAATAATTTGTACAATTATTGAGTATACGAACCTATTATTATGGGGCTATATGAAACATCGTGTTTATGTAGATAAACCTTTAATACTTGATCCTTAAAAACCAACATTTGTCAAGATATGACTAGAATACTCCCCAATGTGTGCCACGTTTAAAAGATGCAGTTTTTCACAATATGTTCCGTTCTCGTACTGCAAGAATCTACTTCTTTTTATTACTAAAACGAATATTCCTTTATTGGTCTGTTCCCGTACTGCAAGAATCTACTAGATTTTACTATTTTCTTCGATATCATAAAGGAAATTTCGTTATGGTAGTACGGAAACATACAAATAATGTCAACGTTCAAAATTTTAAAATAAAAAAGATATATATCATGAAAAAAGTATGTGTTTTATTTAAGTTTAATTTAAAACCACTGTATATACCAAAAACAGTAAGTTGCCAACTTAACATAACGAATTAGTAGACTTCTACTATATGGTAACTCATATGGGCTATCATTCATTTGTGATTGCACAATCTAGCATAAAGTTCTTCTTCTTTCTTGCAATTTAACGTATATAGTCTAGGAAAACCGCACAAATATCAAATCAAATACAAAAATGATACTTTTAAAGATTTTTTTCTCAAAAGACGTGTCACAACCCAATATCAAAATTCAAAGGATACATTACCGGCAAAACTCCTACAGGTACCTAGAGACTACAATACGGACATTGCCCGCAGACTCTATTGAGCACTTTAAACTATAAATATTTATATTAAGATGTCTGTCTTAATGACGGTATAGCTGTAGCTAAAGATAGTCGTGCTCGTCCACGACAAAATTGCTTTACTCTCTGAAGAATCTGCGTCCTAAGTTGCCGAACGAAGCCAGAATTTCTGGCATTTGACGAATCTGTATTTTTTACATTAAAAAAAAATAATAAGTAATATATTCAGAAATAATGTTCGTCATGACATCTAATGCAGCATTAAATGGTTTAAATAAAATACAAGAGTGTTTCGTAACAATTCGTTTATTATTTTTTTTTCAAAATGCCGCACAATTCAAATGATAATATAACGCATTTAAAAAAGGTCGTACTGTCGTCGTAAGTAACCATTATGACCCAGGTGTTGTGTTATGTTATGATGCTATGCCTTCGGACAACCTATGATTTTACAACACTCATATTGTAATACGAATCCGAATACAACGCCAATAGCATAACAGGATAGAGATAATAGACACCTGAATTAACAAATAATAAAAATAGAAATTACAAATAAACAAAAAAACGCTAAACTTGGATGAAATGGAAAATAACAAACAACAAACGTTTAAATCGTCGAATATGACAGATTCACGTAGAAAATCAATACGCCACCGATCAGCACCCATAAGAAAATGGCAAAGAGATGAAGAACGAGTCTTAATTGATTTCTTATCAAATACTATAAAAGATTTTGAGGTTTGAAGGGGAAAAAAGAGGAATACTTGATTGTTGTTTTAAATATGTTTTTTTTTAGAAACCAACAGCCCAGATATATTATCGTAAATTTATGGCAGAGAGTAAAATCGAAAATATTGAATGGAAGTTAATACGTTCTAAAGTACGAAATATGCGTATGGTGCATATGAAAGCAAGGCGTTGGAAGGAATCGGCGGCAGAAGCAAACAACTTGAGTGATGCGGATGTTAAGGGTATGTAAAATTGTGTGTGTGTTATGTGCTAATGTGTTATTGTTGTCATGGAATGTTATACGATACGATACAGCTCGCCATATTTAAGATAAAAATTTCAAATCATTGAAAATGGCATATATTAGTCCACGTTTGGGTTTTAGGGTATCATTAGCTAACATATCTTTCTACCATGGTAAAATAACTTTTATTTTTTATGGAGTAGTTGTGTTATTTACTTATATGTGTACAAATTTTAATTATTTGTTCTCTCCCCCATTTTTTTTTTTGCAGATAACCTATTAAGAATGTGTTATTTTTATGACGAATTTGAAAATCTCTTTGGTGGTGATACAAATAAATGTGAAGAATCACCCTCAACGGCCGATGAGTCGATAAATAATGATTTTATAAAAGAAGAAATGGAACTAAATGACATCAGTGATAATCTTGAACTACGTGTATCATCCGAAGGTGATAATATGCTACCAGAACCGGAAATAACTCTTCAAAATGAAGATGAGCAAAATGAAGATAACCATCATCAACAACATCATAATAAATCATCGAATAGTTATAATGATTTTGACGATGCTGAAAATTACGATGAGATGAAAATCCCATTAAATTATATCAACTATTCACTAAGGGAAAAAGAATTGAAGTTACAACGTGATCGTTTGGAATTTGAAAAGGAAAAACTACGGCAAGAGATGATAATACGGCAAAAAGAAATCGAAAGCCAGGAACGTTTGAAAATATTGGAACTGGAAATGAAAGAGAGAATTGCAATGTGTGATATTAAAATGAAAGAGAATGTAGCCCTGAAGGCATTAGATAAAAAATTTGATTGTAATGAATTGTGAACAGGGGTAGAATATACGTACATATAAAACTTACAAGTTCTGAATTGAACACAAATTGTGTGGACATGCGGAGTTGCCGATTTCTTCAAAATATCTTTTTTACTAACATAAAATTACAAAGCAAATTCGAAACTTATATTTTGATAAAGAAAAACGTGTATGTTTTAAGAGATTCCAAGGATTTTCGTATTATTTCAATCGATGATGATTACGAGGAATGAATTCCTGATTCAAGATTTGGAAAATCGAATTTAAAGCCCCCAGATAACACCGAAATCATTTTTCTTGTCCGAAACATAAAGACAACCGAACTATGCAGAGTTAGACCCTCAGTGAATTGTCTCACACTTTCAGCATTCTTTGAGACATCTGAATATATATGTAATTATTTATTAGATAAACAAATCATGCATCTAACCAAACTTTGCCTTTAAATAAAATCCTTTTTTATTTTATAACATTATTTATTGCCCTTATAAATGTTTTATTACAAAAATGTCGTAGTTATATTTCAATATTTTAGTTATTTTAATTATTTATTATTTAGTTTGAACTATAAAATATTTATATTTTGGTTCAGTTGCTTTGGATTTTGATTTAAGATATATTATAAGACAGTTGCAAATTTTACGGTGTTGTAAATAGTATTCACATGAAATACTAAATTTACAACTTGGCCAAATTAATATCGCTTGAAAATATACAAAAAAATATATTCCAAATATCTCAAAAGAAAGGAATTTGCATTGCTGATTTAGATGTAATTATATATGAATATTAGTATTAATAATATATATTCAGTCAATTTGTTTGTATGAACCGATATTATGTGTTAGTAGATAGTTTGTTTTTTAATTAATTTTGTATTTAAGGTTTATAATTATTTTAGTTCGCAATATACTTGATTAGAATTACAAAACACTTATATAAAAATAGAAAATTTATTTTTTATATATGTATTTAGTTTAGCATAACAAAATACAGCAGGCAATGTAATTTGGGCGGATTAGAAATAGTTAAATGATAAATGGCAAACAGAATTTTATAGCAAGGCAGATTTTTTTTATTTATATATTTTTTTATAATTATTGATATGGTTATAATAAGGGGTGGCAAACGAACTGCGGCGGAGATTGCGTACCAATAACATTGTTATATTTGCCACCGATGCATCTGTCGGCGAATGTTCCACTGGATGTTGTTTTTAATGTGACCGAGGATGAGCATATTCTTTTTGGCCTTAATTTAAAATCCTCGTCTATGTTCGGCGAACTTTATGCCCTGCGTAATGCGTTTGAGATAGCGGCTGAGGATAATTGCAGCAACAACATCCTGAAAAAATGAGTGTTGAAATGTGCCATGTGGTCCGGTTGCCAGGCCATGTGGGCATCAATATTAATGAGGAAGTGGATCGGTTAACAAGATATGCCGTGCACGTGTTGGTGCACCGATTAATTTTGAACTGACGCCTAAAGAGGCCCAAAGAAATATAGTACATAGAGTCTCGCCTGAATGGAAAGAAAGCTGAATTGGGAAAACCATGGGAAAAGTCTAAGTCCTGCCGAAACCAAGCGCAAAAATAGGCTTTAAGTTGGTGTGACAAGGTATTTCGGAAACGCATAGATGCTGCTGATACATACCTGGTGCAATGTATATGAACAGCCTGAAAGCGCACAACATATCATTTTTCAATGTCAAAAATATTTAAAATATAAGGAAAAATTATTCATACACCATAATCTGACAACCCTCCTCCAATCCAAAGGATATATCCCTCTACAAGCTAGTCCTTGGATTCATCAATGACACGAAAATAACACTGATCCAATACCCAAGATGAACTAACTTAACAATTAGATATTTAAGTTATACCGGAAGATACTAATGACGATGCTACAATCCCCTTCCCCACTTTTGCCCCATCTTCTCCACAGCTTTTTTTTGGAGAACAACTTTTATAAAGTACCGGTTTTCTTCTGCTGGTCAGAGTTCATTTGGACTTTTTAATAAAGTTTTACACACTTTTCTGGTTTTCTGTCTGTACTGTTTGCTGCTCCCAGTGCTCCTATGGAATTTTGAATTCTGTCGATCGCCATTTTCCTCATTTCCATTTCCCTCAGCCTTAAGGAAAATAAGGGTATATACACCTTGCTTTGGGTAAAATATGCCCCAATGAAATATTGGGTTTCCGACACCATGTTTCTTTCGACCAAATCCGTTTCAGACAATTTGGAGTCGATTTATTAATGCCCATCGGTCTGTTTTTCGAAGGAAGTAATATATTTTTCCCAAATGTTGCACATCGTAATATTTATTTTAAACTTAAATAAAATTCCACAATGGGACCCATCGGTCTAGTCCTTCCGGTACCTACTAGCCCACAAGCATATATTTCTGTTGAACAAACTCTGGAAGATATCTCTACACATATGGTCAACTATTTTATAAAAATGTATGCCTTATATAAAACGAAAAATAAAAAAAAAAAAAAAAACAACTTTTCTATGGACTTCTAAGTATCCCAAATAAAAAAAAAATTTAAAAATGTCCTTCCATATAAAAATAGAAAATATAAAAAAACAAAATGAATATTCTTTTTTTAGTTTGTTTTTGTTTGTGATTAACATTTAGGTTTTCTTTGTTGATGTTTGTTTTTGTTTTCTTGCTGGTTTTGTTGTTTTTTTAATAATTAAAATTAATTTATAGAATTAATTAAAAAAGAATACAAACACGAGAACTACAATTAAAAAAATAAACAATTTTTTTGTTTTGTATAGAAAAAATTTAAAATTACATTGATGAAGAGAAAGAAAGAGAAGGGAATAGGAGGCGGTGGTGGCAGATCAGGTTAAGATTTGTTGAATAATAAATATTTATATAAAGAATAATTGAGAGGGAGAAAAACTAATAAGCTAATATGAAATGGCAAATAAAAGAAATTAAAAAAAGAAAAAAATATAATAATACAAAAATAAAACAAATTATGTTTATATAAAAATAAAAGATAAAAGTTGATAAAATACATGAAATTAAAAATTAAAGAAATAATAATTAACGTATTAAAAATATGTATTAAAATTAAAAATAAAAATTTTTATTTAGTTTTTCCATTTTTTTGTTTAGAAATCTTTGTTTTTGCGTGACATTGTTGTTGTGATTGATTTTTGTTTTTTTTTTAATAATAATTATATGTATTATATATTATATTTATAAAAATTTTAAAGAGAGAGGGGGTAGGCGGGCGGGCGTTCATTTGTTTGGTTGATTGTAAAAATATGGGTGGTGATTATTTGTTTTTGGTGGTGGTAAATATTATATGAAGGGGGCACGAATGATCACGCGTGCGTTTCAAATTTCATTTTTTGAATATGATGAAGTAGTTCTTTCTTTTTGTTTGAAAACAAATAGCAAATTGTTTGATAGAGAGACAGGGACCGAAAGAGTGTACGAAGAAGAAAAAATAAAATAATAGAATAAGGATGCAATTTATGTTGTCCTGCTGTTGGTTGGTTGTTGTAGTTTTTCTGTTGTTTTTACACATCGTCTGACGCTGTTGCTGCTGATGTTGTGCCAGCCGAGCCATTGGCATCTTCTTTAGTGCTATTGCTGTCGGCGGCATTGGCTTTGGTGTCATTGCTGCTGCTGGTGTTATTCGATTTGGCTGCAACACTATCGGTATTATCCTCCTGCTCCCGTATCGTGGCCTCCAAGGCTCGTATACGATTCTCATGCTTGACAATAATAGCCTTTAGTTTGCGTATTTCATCGGTGATGTCACGCAGGTCCTTTTCCTAAAAAATGAAAAGGAAACAACTCATAAATATTTTTTTTGGGAAAATGCTAATTTTGAATTTCAATACTCACAGTTATACCACTGACCGGCGCCGATCCACCAGAGTTATTGTTGGCTGCACTACTGCCACCACTGCTTGATCCCAGTGTCGCACTGCTGGCACTCTTTGAGGTTCCCACTGCAGCCTTATTCAAGATATTGGCCTTCTTCGATACGGACAGCGATTTGTTGGCCGACTGTGAGACATAGCCACCCTGTACAATAGAAACACGATCCTATTTAGATTTTTTAGTAATTCTGTTCGGTAGGGCGTTGCAGAACAAGCAAGCAACACAAAACACAACTAGCAATGAAGTGGACGACAAGGCGCTTTTTCACAACGCACACATCACAGCACACATGTACGACGTACACATCACCACGTCACGTAACGGCACATTACAATATGATTTTGTTTTTAATTTATTATTATTTTTAATGGTTACCAGGTGTTGATGGGTGAATGATTGAATGGTATGCAATGATCAAAAATTGTGATTTCAAAAAAAAGTTTCTTTTCTATGGATAAAATGGGTAGTATATGATGAGAAGCCATGTAGTGTCTTATTTTTTAATGGTTATATAGTGCAAAAATGAAAATAAATGATATGCCATGATTTGTAAATAGCAAAAGTCTGACAACACAGCGAATGAAGAGCTTCAAAAATAAAATTCATTATCAAACAAGAAACTCATCGCAAAAAAAATTTAACGACATCTTTGGGTGATATTTTTTTTAGTTCAATTATTTTTTATTTGGTTAATCATGAATGAATGTTTTGCAGAACAAGAAAAAAAAAACGAAACAACATTGCCAAAAAATCGCAAGCATTTAACCAAAGAGAGAAATGTTTTGTTTCTCTCTCGAAAGTAATAAAGAAAATATTGGAATACATTGAAAAGCGGCCCTACAATTTTAAGATTTTAATGGGTATAGTCCGACCTTAGAAAGTAAAATATATCCTCCCCAAAATTTTTATCTCACTTCTATTGTAAACAATAATTCGCCATCACAACCTCATGTTAAGAAAGTGAAAGCAACTGATTAACTCACAACGTTATAGATGAGCTGAAGGGAGTCTTTATTGACTAGCCTAAGGGTGTCTTTATAGACGAGTTGAATGGAGTCTTCATAGACGAGTTGAAGGGAGTTTTTATAAAACAGTTGAAGGGAGCCTTTATAGACGAGCTGAAGGAGTCCTTATATATGAGCCTTTATAGACCAGATGAAAGGAGTGTTTATAGACAAGCTGAAGGAAGTCTTTATGGAGCTGAATTTCGAAGGATATTTAGATATTGTTACTAACAAATAATTTATATCCGAAAGCCGTCTTACTCTTTCTTCCACTTTCCACAAAAACACGAGGACGAATTTCGTCAGACCTCGGACTTTTCTAAAACAATAATTCGCCAACCCAACTTTATGTTAAGAAAGTGAAAGCAACTGATTAACTCACAATGTATTTGAGATACAAATATTTTCTAAAGTCAATCAAATACTGGCCTAGTCTTTTGACTGAACTACTCAATAACTGCTGTCACATCTGCGCAGTGTGTGAAAATAGTTGGCTGCTACAACAACAGTTTTACGATTCTCCTATAGTCGATTTTATAACCTAAAAAGAACCTTGAGTTTTGCTCGATCACGGACAATTTGTAATGTCGACTGATAGTCTAGAGTCTTGTTATGTACCGCCATAAATCATGAGGGGTTCCGTTATTACACCTCCCTTGAATTTTTATGGTAGTACTTCTGGAGTTAATTAATCTGGTAGTGCCTGAAATACTACTACCTGACGACCTAACTTAATAGGATAATCTTTGGTTTCATTTTTAAGGCTTGATTTGGCTATATTTTTTCTGGATCCCCCATTTATCTTTTTATTCTATGTTTTTAATTATTTTAAAATCAAATTTTTTAACGTATACCCAATTTATGGTGGAAGCGTGGGTGGGAGGTACAGTGCTTTAACGATTTTGTTTAAACAAGTTATTCTATATGTATAGAAATATGTTATAAACTAGACTAATTACAAATGATATTTCTTGAAATTGAAAATTTGTATTTTAAAAAATCTAATTCGGGAACAACCTAGAGCGAAACATGTACTCGTTCAGTGGGAATTTTTGTTTTAATGTGTTTCCAATGGGCGCAAATCACAACATCCACCGAAAAGATGGACTATTGTTAATTCACAAAAACAACAACAAAAATATTATTTCTTTCTTTCTTCATAAAACTAACTCAATCTTCCCATTTTATGGCAATATTTATATCAGGAAAATTATCTATTTATATACATAGAGATAGAGTAACTTCGACGTGTATAAACAATATTAAATCTGCTAATATAAGTTCCATCAACAATTCCTGGAGTGTACTCAATGTTTTGTTTGTGAAATTTTAATGTACCAGAAACTACAATGAAATGTCGAAATTTATGAATCCCATTGACAGTAAAACGATCACCGAAAGACATAGTGATAGTGTCTTTTTCGCTAATAAGATATATCCATATCTCAGGAAATCTCTCTGTCAAATATCATAGAGATAATTCCACATAAAAAAAGATATGCATATCTTTCATAATACGATTGCTTGATAATGTGCACTCAATTGAAAGTGGCGTTTCATGGCCGTATCATAGTGGCAAATTCATATGATACCATGATCGATTTTTCGATACGCCCTGAGTACTGTATTCCAATATTTCGGGGGTAGCAATCACATGACGGCTTGTGACAATCGAAAACTTACTTTAAGCGAAAATGTTATGGGATCGGCATCTTCACCCATTATCCATTTTTCGGCAGTAATGGCAGCATCTTCGGCTAATGTGTCCGGATACAAATCCTCTTGGAAGAGATCCGATTTGCGGGGTACTGTCATTGAGATGACTTGGCACAGGCCATTGTTGTTGAGACGATAAAATTTGGCAATTTCACAGGTTGTGACATCGCAGCCACGTTTTGGCATCATGCCGATACCACGTTGTGGATCGGGTGTTTGGAAGGTGTTAATATAATGGACAAATGGTGGTTCGGGGGTAACCTGTAAATAAAACAAATGTGAGATTAGTTTCGAGTATCTATGGAATTTGATGGTTTACTCACTTCAAAATATCTGATCACAGAATCACCTTTACCACACAAATAAATTAAATTCGTATCGGGATCATAGAGTGGGAACATTACACCGTTTGATGTATCCAATTCAACCATAACAATAGGATCGCTGAGAGCATCGGGGGCACGCAATGAATATTGACGTTCCGAGGAACGATTGAAACCGGTGGTAAAGATTAAGCCATGACGCAGGAATATAGCCCTTGTAGCCTTTGAGCCCTCATGACAGACGGCCTCACTTTCCACCTCGCCTGTGCGTGGATCATAGATACGGATCTTTTTATCTTTGCAGGTGGTAACCAATTTCGAGCCATCCCAATTGAAGCAGGCACTGTAGACAATGTCAGGATGTGAATCTATGTGTACCAGAATTTCACCGGTACCAACGTTCCAGATGACAACCTAAAAGAGAAAGTCATTAATTAAATGTTTTTAAATTTGTTATTGATTTGCTCACCTGATTGTCTGAGCCTGCTGTTAGCAGAACATTTAAGGCGGATGGATGCCATACCACTAGGCCAACACGACGCTGATGGAATACCAAATCTACAACGGGTTCTGTTAGAGTTCTCGACAGGCCACCATCGGGAATTTGCCATACTTTGACAACACAATCTTCCGAGCCGGAGGCAATGACATTGTCATTGTGGGGACACCAGGCAATATCTAAGACGGGACCTTTGTGACCACCAACCAACGGATGATCGGCAGCAATGCGACCCACCTAAAATTAGACAACATCAAAGAAAATATAATTAGTATATAATTTTGAATAAGAAATACATTAAACAAAATGTACCACCCACATTATCACATGGTGTTGTTATTGAGGGGACTAATGCCAAATCTATGACATAAATGATTTTTTTCAAGGATTTTTTTGTTTTCATTTTAATGGAGGCGTTTGATACATTCGACTTTGTCATTTTAAGAGCATCATAAATTTTGGAAGTGAAATAATTAAAAATAATTGTTATGGTCATTTATAAGTCATCACAAGAGAGGAGCACGATAATAAGTATTTTATGTGTGCCGCCGCCGCAAAATTAAAATGTGAAAAAAAAAACATGAATGATCATTTCAATTGATTTGCTGCTGCTTATTATTATTTTATCTTAGTTCATTTTGACATTACAATTGCAAATGACATTTGCCAATTTTTTGTACATTTTTTTGCAACGTTAATTTGTGACATACGTTTCGATATACTGACACACATATGCCGCACATATATCCGCCGGATGTTTTCAAAAAGCAGAAAAAACACCATTTGACAATAAAGTATACCAGATCGGCTGGCTGACCACATCAATAAGCGTGCGGCGGTGTGTTGTAGGGAACAGGTGTTAGACCAAAACAAAATTTAAATAATAAAATTTGACAGTTTTTTTTCGCTTGGCCATAGATTTGCAATTTTATGCAGCGAAATACTTGTTTGACTGTTACGATCAAAAAAATGACGCAAATCAAAAAACGAGTAAACAAAAAAATTCAAAATTTGAAATGTGCGAAAAATAAGGGGCGGAAAAATACGGTGAGGGAATTTTTTACAGACGAACTGAAGGGGGTCCTTATAAAGAAGCTGAGGGGAGTCTTTATAGACGAGCTGAAGGGAATCTTTATAGACGAGCTGAAGGGAGTCTTTATAGACGAGCAGAAGGGAGTCTTTATAGACGAGCAGAAGAGAGTCTTTATAGACGAGCAGAAGAGAGACTTTATAGACGAGCAGAAGAGAGACTTTATAGACGAGCAGAAGGGAGTCTTTATGGACGAGCTGAAGGGAGTCTTTATGGACAAGCTGAAGGGAGTCTTTATGGACGAGCTGAAGGGAGTCTTTATAGACGAGCTGAAGGGAGTCTTTATAGAAGAGCTGAAGGGAGTCTTTATAGAGGAGCTGAAGGGAGTTTTTATTGACGAACCGAAAGTAGCCTTTATAGACAAGCTGAGTGGAGTCTTTATAGACCAGCTGAAGGGAGTCTTTATAGACTATCTAAGGAGAGTCTTTATATATAAAATGAAGGGAGCTTTTAAAGATGAGCTGAAGGTGGTTTTTATATACGAGCTGAAACTGGGACCTCAAGGTCTCAATGGACGAGCTGAAGGAAATATTTATAGAGGAGCTGAAATGTAACCTTTTAGAGACTGAACCACTGAAGGAAGTATTTATAAACGAGATGAAGGCAGTCTTTATTGAGGACCTGTATGACCAACAGAAGGAAGATATCAACCGCGATCTAAATGGAGTCGTTATATACGAACTGAAGGAAGTCTTTATAAACATGCTTAACAGAAATTTATTTTTACGGGAACTCCACTGACTATTTAATAAAATTATAGACCTTCGATTTTTTATATATACTAAAAGGGACAATTATGACCCATAATAAATATGCCTTTAAATATGAGGTAAAGGGCGAAATTACAGAAGAGCTGAGAGGATTGAATAGGGCGGTTCTGTCGACGAGCTGATAGGAGTCTAAAGAAGTCTTTTGGGAAATAAACGTTTGCCTTGTTCCCAAACACCAAGTGGCATAAATCCATTAATTTAAGGTGTAGAACTATACCACTAAATTCATTATATAAAAACCTTGATAGATTCAATGCGCAATTTTTATTTTCGATTTCCATAGATCAATCGATAATTAGAAATCTTCCTAAAAACACAACAATAGATTCGCAAAACTATATACACAAATATATGTGCATATGAACATGTTTATATTTATATACCATAAGTTATAGAAAAGAAATGTTTACATTGTAAATATTTTATTTATCTGCCTATTCGAAAAAGAAAACACATACACACAATATTCGATATAAACACCACAATGCGAAAAAAAGTTTCCGTTATAATTTTTCCATAAGATTTTCATTGCTTCCTCTTCACTTGAGTTTGTGTGTGTGTATGATCTCAGCTAGAAGAAGCTGAAGAAGTGTGAAATAAATGTTCGCTCATTTTCATTTTCGATTTTTTTGGTTTGGGTTTTTTGCGCGCGTTACCCCATTTTATTGGCCATTTGCCAAAAACGTAGAGAAGAAACACAGCCGAACGAACTAAAAACATAGAAAAAATATCCTCAACAAAAATATATATTTTATAACAAACGTATAAAACAATCACAACGTAGATGTTTTTATTGTTGGTTTTTTCTTCTTCGGCATCTTATTTATAGATCATTTCTGTTTCATTTCCCAAAATAGTCACAAAAATAAAAGAGAAATACAACGACATACACCGATGGTCGGGATTTTTTTCAGTTCGAAATTGAATTTTCTTTTTTCTCCTTTAAAAGTGAAAAAATAAGATGTAATTTTTTGGATATTTTAGAGTGGGTTTATTTTTGTGTTATGAAGGTGGCAGTGGTGGTGGTGGTTGTTGGTGGAAATGGGCTGACAGTTTACCGCCTCTGGTATAGTTTTTTATTTGGATCATCAATATTTGTATTGACGTTTCGATTTTTACAACAATGTTGAGGTCCATAATATTTTCTAAAGGTAATATTTTCAAAATGAGATCATAAAGGGAGGTGAGTTTTCACATAGACATGGTGAAGGTGTCTTTATAAATGAACTAAAGGAGGGAGTTAAGGAGAATCTTAATATTCGAGTTGAAGGAAGGCTACTTAGAAGAGGTCTACATAGGGAGCTGATTTATTGTCGTGCTGAATGAAATCTGTATGGGCCAGTTGAAGGGACTATAGACGTATTTGAAGGATGTAATTTATTTAAGGAATTCTTTCTGGACGAGCTGATGTGGAATCTATATGGACGATGAGAAGAGGTTCTTTATAGACGTTTTGAAGGAAGTATAGACTGAAGTGAACCTTAATAGAAGATCTAAAGGGAGTCTTGATAGACGAGCTGAATGGAATCTGTATAGACAAATGAGAAGGTAGTTTTTAAATCGAGTTAAAAGTAGTCTTTATAAACGAGTTGAGTGGAGTCTTTATAGAAGATATATAGGAAGTCTTTATAAACAGGCAAAAGGAAGCCATAATAAACTAGCTGGGTGGAGTCTTTTCAGACGAACTGAAGGGTGTCCTTATAGACGAGCTGAAGGGAGTCTTTATAGACGAGCTAAAGAATTTAAATTGGACACACGGCTATATATGGGGTGATACACAAAACACTGAAGTAATTCAATTTTCCTAATCAAATTATCGCTCCCTAATAGTACAAATTAAGTACAATTCGTTCTAAAACAAGGCCTTCATAATGCCTAAAATAGGTCGGGTCACTTATATGGAAGCTATGTAAAAGAAAAATTGAAATAAAATGAAAAACATTCTCCAGAAGGTATTTTACTTCTTGAGAACACGAAATGCCATAACACTGCCACTTCTGTTGAAAAATTAGTCTATAACATTCGAGTATTTAAAATTCGTCAAGATCTAAGTATGGATTTAAATGAAATATTTATTTAATATACATTTTGTTAATATAGTCCTTGGTCGACACCTTTATACGGAAACTTTGTCAACATATGTATGAATACATGAACTGAAAGGTGCATCTATATACGAGCGGAAGGTTATTTATTGGAGTTATTATAGACACATAGGGTATGAAAGTGTTTAAGAAAGCTAAAAGAGGAGAGAAGGAGGAGATATTTTACCTTCTGAAAACCATAAATGCCAACATGGTTGGAAAATAACTTCAATATATCTTCATCCATGAAAATAATCAACTATGTTGGTATGTTATCTTCTGAGAACCCTAAATAACAAATCACAGGCAATTCGGTTGGAACATAAACTTTGTGAACATATGAACCTACACTGGCCATTTGCAGGCAGGGTTTTTTAAGAAGTTAATTGCAATGGGTCTTTTTGTAGACAGGAAGCAAGTGGAAGCACTATGGATTCTAAAAGTCTAATAGGAGCAAAATATCATCTATATATCTTCTTCCATTAATATAATAGCTTAGACAGACCTTCCAGTAATTCTACTTGCTTCTTATTGAGAAAGAATTTTCTATTGATCTTCTTCCATTGAAAATTTTCGATGGGACTTTTAAATATCTATACAGTAGAGAATGTTTTTGTTATGTTTCAGAAAAAATTCAAACCTTCTATGAATACAATACCTAAAAGAAGACTTCTAATACATTTCTATAGATCTGAATGCCTTGCAGGTTCTCACATCCGTCGTTTACTCTATTCAAACCCTAACTTTACAAATAAAAATATGTGTTTTTTTGAACATTTATTTTTCAACTTGGTCATAATTCTTTTGTCTGCAGAGAACAGCAATAAATATCCGTTAAAAAAAAAACTAAGCCTAAACCAAAAATAGAATTAGAAAAAAAAGACAAATGTGCTTTGAATAATTAATTTTTTTGGGAAAAACAATTTCAAACTAATTACAAAGACAGTACTCTTTCTCTACGACATAGAGCAAGAAAGGAACTTCTTGACATAAAGTGTGACATACGAGTGAATGACGACGGAGTACAATACAACTTACCTTACTGTGTGGTAGAACTATGAAGGCACCGCCACCTGCTGACTCGACAATGATGGCCAAAAATTTCGGATTCACCGCACAGAAGGTGGAATCCCAACTGCTTTTGGAGACACGTATATTGTCGTAGCATTGTTCACGTTTTAGAGCCTGACCGTAGACGTGACGAAATTTTGAACTTCTGACTACACGAAAAGACATTTTTTTACAGTTCGACGGTGGTGTTGGTTGACTGACGGAGACGCTGTTTCAGGTGTGATGTTGTTGTTGTTATTGTTGCTGGACGGTATTTTGTTGTCGTGTGTTTGATTGTTGTTGAGCGTCCGATTAAATTTTTTGAGTTGATTTGTTTTTGTTGTTTTTTTGTACTCAATAACAAAAATTATTAACAATTAAAAATAGTAAAAAACAAATTAAAATATTGTAACTAGAAAAAAGAAGAAAAAAAAAATACTTTAGTTTGGTTTTGAAAATTAAAATAAAATGAAAAGAAATATCAAAATTTTGAAATTAAAAAAGGAGAGGGAGATTTTTATAAATATAAAAGGACTTGAGAGTGCGCATTAGAAATTGTTTCGTGCGGGAGAGAGATAATTATCGGCTAGTGAGTGTCTTCAAGAGGGAGAGAGGCAGAGTCTTGTTTGTAAGGCGTTTTCAAATGTGATTGAATGTGGGGTATTGAAACGGAGTTCGTCGTCGAAAAATTATAAATTATGTTAAATCGCCAATCTGTAAAGAAAAGAAAAATAAAATATATATATTAGGAAATTTTGATATAAAAGAAAATAAAAAATATTAATATAATAAAAATAATATACGGTTAAAATATTTAAAAGGACTTCTGTCCTGATCTGCCAGGACCCTTAGATGGGGGCTATCACTGTATACAGAACTATTTTTTTAAATTTTTATCCTCTCCAAAAAAAAAACAAGCATTTTACATTCGGAGAATCGGAAATGTTACATTATTATACCAATTGGAAAATATAGGAAGTTCAGTAGCATTATATTGCGAACTACGAGAAAATATTTTTTTACAGAATTTGAAACGCAAAATTGAAAACTTGTCTAGAACCCTCAAGACGCCGAAAATCTCTCGGCAACTTATCTGGGAGCTACGTCAAAATGTGGACCAACATTGAAAGTTTTCTAACAGGAGAAAATGTTTTCCTCTGAGAATCCAAAATGCAGAACTACATCCACTTCATTTGGAAAATATTCGATCACTCCATCTAAGGAATTTGGGTGATTTTACAATTTTCAATGTCTTTAACTACGTATTTACCATTTGGAAATGCCTTGTTTATAACATAAGGACCCTTAAATATTGGCTATAGCTTTTTGTTAACATTCTTTATTACTACGAAGTTTCCGACTTTGAATGAGCTGACTTTATAACCCATTTTCCTTCGACCTTTGCGTCTGACTACACATTATAACCACAACAGTAAGAAAATGAGACCCGGTACCTAACATCGATAGAGGCTCTTGTATAAATGCTTATATAAATTGTATAGAAATGGTTTATAAATTCTACTACCATTCACCCTTTTATAAAAACACGTAAACTCCATAATTATATCAGAAAACAAAAACAACAACAATAAATCCAACTAATTTATTAACAATTTGTATTACTAATTTATTTGACATGTGCAGTTCGCTTTAACAAACCATTTGACATTTCTGACATAAGACAAAATTGTTAAATGATACTGAGATCCAAGTAGATCTCAAATACTAAAACCCTCTCGCACCCTCGCCCCTATTAATTTTTTCCAATCGAAATCTAACACGCAAATAAATCATTACACATTACAAGTATTTGCTTTTTTTTCTGATGACGAATATTGGGAATGTGAGCTACCACCTTCCTGCTGCTGCTGCACTTCCCTCTTGTACCATGTACCACAACCCTGATTAAGAAACCGCAACAGCATCTATTAATGAAATTTAATTAATGATCGAATAATTGAAGCATAACCAGCACCACCGCCATCATCATAATCCTCTCGTCGTTGGTCGTGACAGTCAGTAACCATCATTAAATTCAATACGCCCGTTTAGATGCAATTATAGATTTTTGTTCCGAATTATTATTCAAATGCATCAAATGTTCAATGATTTATGAAATAAATAAATGCAAAAACAACAACAGAATATCTGATCTTTATACAATCCAATGTGGAATTACATGAAATCTATATCGATCGAAGTAATGGGTTTTTTGCAGATCGTTGGCAGTGATTCACTGAATCATTTCGAATGACCCACAAGGAAATCATTTCTATGAAACATTTTTATTTACAAAAGTAGAACAAAGAGACCATCAGGGCTTCTACAAACGAAAAATCTGTAAATATCGGAGGCATACTGTTGATTTTCTATAGGTCGAAGGACTTACTTACATTGAATATTGTTTTCATTGAGGTATTTTAACCCGATATGATTAATTATAGCCACTTCGATATTAACATGAGGCTATCACTTTTAAAATGCCTAAAATCAATGGAGAGCCTTATATGGAGGCTATGTTAAATCATAGGCCTTTACGGAAAACCCGCATGGAGGTATTTTACCCTTTGAGAAGTCAAAATATTTAATTACAGCCACTTCGGAGTGGAAATGAGGCTAGGATCCCTAAAATGACTAAAATCACTCAGAAGCCTTATAGTACTTTTACATTGTACCGGATTTCATTAACCCAGTGGTTTTAAATTGCAATATTGCCATTGCATACATGTCAAATAAATCCTCATAAAAAAGGTTAACCCGGTAAAAATTTCTAATGTAAATGTCGTTTTATATGAAACCTATGTGAAAACATGGAACTATATTAATTTTTTCTGTCTATAGATTTTACATGGATTAAAATATGCCTTTAGAAAATTAAACTATCCTAATATATCAATCGGGATCCTAATATAGAAGCTACCTGAAACATTTAAAATTTTCTGGAATAAGATATTTTATCTTCTGAGAACCGAAAATGTTTATTTACAGGCACTTCTGTGAATAAATGAAACTGGAACCCTCAAAATGCCGAATATATCTCGGGACCCTTAGATAAGAGCTATCTCATAACATTAACTCTCCTCTAATAGTAATTTTGGACCAAATTTCGATAGTAGATCTTATATTGGCTGGAGAATCTCACTTTCTGCGAAGGAATACCGGAACCGGATTCCGGACCATATTGATTGTATATAAAATTTAGACGCTGTATGTAAATGCAAATTAAAACGAGGTTAGAACATTCAAATGTCTAAAATCGATCGGAGTCTTTAAATGGTGTTACGTAAAAACATATATTTATACTGAAAAATTCTGGCTAGAAGTTTTTTTACCTTGAGAAACAGAAATTTCATTTTTACAACAGATATTGCAAAAAAGCAAACGAATTAAATATTTTAACATATTTTTGATGAACCGGATTCTGGACCATAATAATTGAATTTAAAATACAGAGGCTGTATGTAAATGCAAATTCTTTGAAAAGAGTTTAGAACATTCAAATGTATAAAATCGGTCGGAAACCTTAAATGGAGTTACGCGAAAACATGATTTATACTCAAAAATTCTGGCTAGACGATTTTTCCCCTTAGAAAACGAAATTTCAATTTATACACAAATATTCTAAAAAAAAACAATAAGCTTAAAATAAGAATAAAAAACCTGCAGTGTGTCTAGTATAGACCTGCATATATTCTACAGACCGAATATATTTTCAGAAGACCACGTTTATTCGAATATTAATTCTTGATAATTTTTTTAAATATCCATTTTCAAGAACTTCAAAAACTATCTTCAACAAATCTTATGGGTCTCAAAATATCCCAAAAAATCCGCATAAGCATCTTATAGTTAAAATCTGACAAGCTAACCTCCATTTGAAAACTTGTCTCCGAGTTCCAAATTATTATGAAAAACATATGCCGGCTGTCTGGAATTCAAAATAGTTGGTGTCCACACAAACAGTCGAGTGATCTGATCGGTCGGACTTATGTCAAATTGTGTGTGTGTGTGCTTTCTGTCATTTTATTTTATTGCGCTGTCACCAAACAATTGTTCTAGTTTCGATTTGTTGACGGTGGCGGGACCGTATGGGTGGTTTATGTTTATGAGATTCGGTGTTTGGGAGGCTATCCGAAAAGAAAAAAAAAACAACCAAACTATAAATAAACCACCAAGAAAAATCACACACGAACTAGTTTGTAATGGGAAACGCACATATGATGATGATGAACATACTGATGAGATGAGAAGTGTCCACCACAACCCACATTTGAATAGAATACAAAGGCTGGCAGACATAGTATGCCAACGCAATGATTTCTTTTTTGGAGTTTTTCGAAATTCGAAGAGCATGGACTTTTCAAGAAGGCAAAAAATAAAACAATAATATTTTGTTATTAAAACTTGTGTAATTCAAAATAAAAAAACCTGTGGATTTTATAAATATTTTTTTTTTATTGGATACAATTCGCCTTATAACTCTCTAGGTTGTTTCAAATATTTTGCTTCACTTTTTCTTATTGTCATATTATGGATCCCACTGTGTACCCTCAAAATGTCGTCTACAAATATACCCATGACATCATTCTGAAAAAATAATAAAAAATTGAAGCCACCACTAAATAAATTATTAACAGAGTTTTCGAAACTAGGAAGCCAAAAACATAAATTTAGACATTTGTTTCTAACACATAACTGTTATTTTTCTATAATAGAGGAGATAAGATTAAAAGACTAAGAAAGTTAGGTAGGCAAGCAAAAAATATTTATAAAAAAATAAAAAAATGAGTAATAAAAACAAAAAAAGATAAATTGTTCGAATATCTGTCTGACACTTAGTCAGTGTCAGTTAGTTCCTCATTCAGCCAGTCAACCGGGCAATTCATTCACATTTGCAAAGTTAAGAGCCGGCTATTGTTCCTCGAATGAGACAACAAAACTGTTATTGTTGCCTCGTCGCACCCCCAAAGTCCATTCCCCACATACGTTGTGGTACTTTAAAGACCTGAGCTTTGTTGTAGGCAAAAAACAACAATAACTACAATAACAAATGATTTGTTTATTTATTGTTTATAATCTATTTGCACAGCTCTGATAGTGCGGATGATGATATCGACCAACATAGGCCGGCCAGGTACTAGCGAAAAAAATATATACATACATATATGTTTATACATATGTATATGTAC